CCCCCCGCTGACGGGGCCGCGGCGAGCGGTACTGGGGGGGCCGGGGCAGTCCAGCACCAGCGGGGACCGCATGGGCTGAGGCGCACGGAGAGCTGGGGGCCAGGTGGGGCACGGGGCGGTGCAGTACGGCACTCGCGGGGCAGCCGAGGACAGCGGCAGAATGGGGGCTGGGGAGGTAACGGAGCGGGACACAGCGATCTTCGGACGTTGGATACAGCAGGAACATGGACAGCAGTGCCCAAGGAGAGAAGCTTTTCCCCAGGAAGCTCAGCTGTAAAACCCGGCTGCGTGCTGACAGAGCTCTCCAAGCCAGGTGGAGCATGCCTGCTGGCCCATTGCAGCGAGGGCAGTACTGGAGCTAGGAGGTGCTGAGGTCTGAGCTCACCAGCTGCACAGCAGGTTGCCCTGGCTGGCTGCCACCTTCCTGCCTTACCCCAGGGCTGCTCACTTGCCTTTTCTGCTCTGAAAGCAGAATGCAGGGGAAGAGCCTGGCTGTCCTGTAGTCAGGCTTGGCACAGTTGTGCAGTGCTCTGTTTGAGCCCACCAAGACCTGCACCCACCCCAAGCCCACGCCAAGGTAGACCACAGCCCCGCAACTCATCTCTCTTGGCAGCCCAAGTACCACCAGGGGCTGAACGCTGCTGAACATGTCCTGTGGGGAAAGCACCCTCCGAGGCCCCGTGCAGAAAAGGCAGTAGTAACACGACAGCAGTGCCATGGAGAACGCTTTATTGTCCCCCAGCATCACTCCTGTGCTGTGACCCGTGGCAGGTTGACATAGCTCTTCATGGGCGGAAGAGGCTTGATCTTGCGCCCAGCCCAGCCACCCTTGCGATGCCACAAGCCCGTGTGTGGCAGCGGTTCCGGCCCGCCTTCCCAATCCCTCGCTTACTGTGGTCAACATGGGACACCCGGCCCACCGTAGCCACACAGGTCTCCAGCACCTAGGGGACAGAGAAAAGCTGCAGGCCTACCTGGGGACATACAGCTTCATGCCCAGGTGGTCAGGTCAGGGACAGCATGGCACCTCTACCTGCATATGCCTCTTGGAGGGCAGCTGCACGATGGCTGTCCCATTCACCTTCCTCAGTAGCACCCCACAAGTCCCTGCAGGCAAGAGGAGAGGAGGTAGCTGCCCTGAGCAGCACGACAAAGTATCCTACCCTGTGGCAAGCACATCCCCATGCTGCGAACTCCCCAAAGTCGTGTTGTTGCCCTTCGTGTAGCACTTTTTCCTGAAGACAGGAGCTCAAGGCATCACCAGGAAGCGACGGGGCAGAGCTGCCCCTGCCTCTCTGGAGGGATGTTTTGCACCCTAACATGGGAAGAAGAGAGGACAGCAACTCACTGTCACTGGCCACCCAGAGCAGTGCCCCCCTGCCCTCCTCTCTGCCTACACTAAGCCAAACCTGGCTAGAGACAGTGGGACCCTGCTGAGAGGCTCACCAGCTGCCCGGATGTACTGCGCTCCCTTCCCAGGGTGGCTCTCCAGGTTGCAGATCAGCGTGCCCACAGGCAGAGCCCCCAGTGGGTAGGCGTCCCCTTCGT